TGCAGCAGCAAAACTCACCAAAGAGCTGCTGGTTCTGATTCTGCTCTGCATCCAGAACCAAACATGAAGAAGCAGCTTTCAGCTTCATGCACCACAGATCTGGAACAAACTTCCAGAAAACTGCAGAGCAGCCGAAACCCTGAGTTCCTTTAGACGCAGAATGAACCGTTAGCTTGGAGCTGATTAGATTCATAATGAATGAAATGTTGATCAATCCCTTTATAAGTGGATAGATGAATGGGCAGAGCTGCTACTCTGACGGAAAACCTTCCCTCTCCTGTCGCCGCCCTGTTGGCGACAATGAATTCTACAAACAATTTTGGCAAATCAGACATTAAAAACATGGAATTATTTTTTCCTACAATATTGAATGCATCACACTGTGACCTGCCGTTCTGACTGTAGCAGCTCTGCTATATTACTGAATGTTTTATATATTAATATAATTATGTTACTGGAGTCTTATGTTACAAAGTTTTGCTATAATTATTTTTGAGTAAATATGAAACAGTTTTTAGTTTTTCTTCACTGGTTTTATTTTCCTGTAGCCGCTGGAATTTAATAAGTTCAATAAAATGATAAAAACTGGATTAATTCCCTTGTTTGTTCACAGAACTCGGCGATATTCATAACAATAATCAAGTGGGATCAAATGTTTAATTAACAATAGTAGACATAGTTTAACTTTTTAAAATACTGATTCCTATAGCGGCAATTATGTAAAATGAAATTATTGGTGAATATGAAAGATAAATTTGTCCTTTCATCTTAACAGAACTGGCAGAAACCAAACTGTTTATAGATTTATTTTTCAGTTTTAATTTAAATAGAAATTGGATAATAAATGAATATTTGCACTGCAGAGCCTGTTGGACGTCCGTCAGTCCTTCCTCTGTCAATTACTGGTTTATTTCAAATTAAAATATACTTTATTGATCCCAAAGCGAAACTAAATAATTGTCAGTCAGTATTAATATTAGCAGAATAAAGAGAGAATAAAAAGAAATGTAAAAGATAACAGACATCCAAGAAGTTGGACCTGGACCGGCGCCGACCGGCTCAGAGGAAACGAGGAAAATATGGATTAATGAGATTCAAACTATTAGAAGTGATTATGGATTTACTGAAAAGTTTTAACTTTTCTCGTCAGAATTACAGCTTCAATTGGAGTTATTGCTGTTTTTCCGCCTGAGAATTTTGAAAATGTATTTGAGCTCCGAGAAGAACGAGAAGCCACCATAACTAGAAATGTGCTCAATGTGTTGCAGGTCACATCTAAAAAATAATCAAACCACAGTTAGATGTTTGTTTACTGCCTGTTTTTATGCATCATTTAAAGAAGATTGTCATAACCTCTAATAGATTTACATTTTTTCAATATTTGTCCGAATTAATTTTTCTAAATATCTCATTTCCTTGAATATGAACCCATAACATTTTGATGAATTGTATTGATTGATTGATTGATTGATTGATTGATTGGTGAATGTGTTGCAGCAGTTGGAGAGGATTCTGATGCAGATGATACTTGCCTCACATTTACAGTAATATGTCATTAAAACAAAGCCTAATATTGAGAAACCTAAACCTGTTTTGGTTTAGTGAACATGAGGAGATGATCAGTTTTCTGTTGATATTGAATCTGCTGAGGTGAAAACTGAATAAAATGATGGAGCTGCAACAGCAAATGGGGTTTTGATGATTTTACTAAAGGTTTGAGGATCATGAATAATAATAGCTGCAATAAAGTGCAGAAAGTACATGACTAATAATCGGCTAATTCAGTCCCTGGGGGAATGACTAAATTACTTTTCGATACTTTTAATTATTTTTGTCAGTTTATTTGTAGTTTCCGTGGAAATAAGAACATTTCCTGTAACTACTTCAGGGTTAAACTTTTTCAAACGCTGTAATGTGTTGACAGAAAGATTGATTAGCTGCCAGCTTCATATTTAGCATCTCTTAGTTTAACTTTGAGTAGCTGTTAGTTTGACTTCAAGTTACATAGTTGTCTTAAAATTGAGTCACTGTTAGCTTAATTCTGAGTTGATGTTCGCTGAACTTTGTTTTTGCTAGCATAGCTTGTCTATAAACATTTCATTTCACTCTGAGCAAACGTTAGCTTCACTCAGTAGTTTATATCTTGACTTCAAATAGCTGTTAGCTTGAGTCTGAGCCATACATGAACATTTCTATCACATGCTTCAAAATACAATCAGTCTGATGGTTTTCAGCTTCAGGTATGTTGTAAATGCTCTCAACTACTCCACTCAAGCCCATACTAATAAATAAGTATTTATTTATGCTAACGTTTACGTCTTATTTAAAAGCGTCTGCGTATTTTAACGATCCCAGCATTATGGATGAAATGAGCTCATTTGGTCGTCTCTGTTGGCAGAAACGGGCTTGAGTTCTTTACAGATGTTGAGGCTTAGCGCTGTGAGAGTTTTTATTGATTAAACTCGTGATGCATGAGCCACTGAGTGCCTTTCACACTGGATGCAGCAGAATTGCAAAGTGTTGTGCTCAGAAAAACCTGGTTCATTTATTATTTGGAAATTAAATGCAATGCAGCCTTTGAGGATTCTGCTGGCCTGCTAGGTTTCAATTAATATGAACCAGAATGACCTGAAGAGGAAGTGCTGATTAAAGACGTGATGGTAGTTTCCTGTTGAGGGTAATGTGGCTTATTCCCACTCGGAGGCTGTTAATCTACCAACATTTGCCTTCTGAGTGAGTCTGTTGCCAGAAATGCTGCATTTGCTTTGAAACATCTGGTTCCTCTCCATGCCTGTCCAGATTTTGTGACAGAAACATTTCCAAGCAACTGAATTTGTCGTGGCAATCTGCCCAGGGTGTTCCCCGCCCCTCACCAAACTGACCAGCCCCGCAGTCCTGCAAAGACGAGCCGGTTCAGGCAATTATTGGACGGAGGAATTTATTGGACTTTATTGTAAGTGAAATAAAAATGTTGGAGATTTCCTTCAGGCAGCTGATCAACACGATGCAGCAATAGGTGGAGGAGGGGCAGCTCTGTGTACAAAAGATTCCAAGAAAATTTTCTCTAGCATCTTATTAAGAGGGCTTTAGACCAAAACATGTTGGAAAGTATGTGAGGTTCTGATCATCTTGAGTTTGGTAACCAGCTGATATTAAAGTAGTTTCATGTTTTTGTCTATTTTAATCTTTTTTAGTTTTGTTGGAGTGTAAATATTACCGTCCAAAATAAACCGATGGCACCTGGCAACAAGCACTGAGTTGCCGATAATTGTTTATGAGCTGAACTGAGCAGCTCAAGGAAACAGAAGTTTGCAGTTTTACTGTTGCTATAGCAACAAGGCGACTAACTTTTTTTTCCACAGTTTTAACCATTTTTATTAGTTGAAGGGCTTCAGATCTGATGCGGTTTATCTGCCTGGTTTTAGTCAGAACTGCAGCAGCAGCTGGAGAACATCGATTTGTCCAGTTATTGATCAATCATTGATTAGATGAGCTGATGATTATTTAAATAATCAATTAGTGTGATTAATAGTTTCAGCCTAGATTCAAGGTAAATGGATTCCACATTCTGACCCGATCAATACCGCACCAATAAACTCCATTGATTGATTATTGATGGATTTATTGATTGATTGCTGACCTGTCTCTCCACAGTAACTGCCCCTGCTCGCTGGCGGCCGCTCTGGCCCGCGCCACCGCAGACAGCCTGCTCCAGTCCGATCTGTCCATCCAGAACCTCAACAAGGCTGTAGAAGACGGCGCCGATCCGTTGCCACGTGAGTCGCCGGGGAATCGCTCTCTCAAACAAATTAGGGCTGCCTCTCAGTTCGTCCCTCACACTCAGCCACAAACCTCCAGAGCCGCGTCCCACTTCTCCTCTCTGGGTGCAGTAAGTGGGATTTGACCACTAGAGGGCGAAAGGAGGCTCAGTCACAGCCGGACGCCAAACGGCTTCCCTCGTTTATGGTTCAGATCAGCGAATATTTTACTCACATGTAATATTCAAAATTCAACAGCTGTAACCCGTAACCTTCAAAATGAAAAAACAAACTATTATGCAATGCTAACATTTTGCAGTTTTGGTTCTTTGTTCTCTCTTTAGTCGCAAACCCTTAAAAATAAACGTTCCTTCGTTCCAAACAGACACTTCAGAGTTTCATTCAGATTTAATGCAAAAAACCAAAAGAAAATAAATAATAAAAAGTTAATATGTGGATATTAAGTACAAATCTGCAACTCATGACGTATTTATTTTTCTGCAGCCCCCTTTACTCTGATGAATCAAAATCAAATTTTATTGATTAATCAAATTTTCTGTTTGAAGATTTAATTTGTGGAAAATGTGGATTTTTTTTTCATAGTTCAGAGTCGCATCAGGTTTATGGGGCTTCTATTTATTTTGACTTTGAATTCAGGTTATATTTAATATTTATTTGTTCATTTAGATGTTCAAACAGTTCCAACTCAATTATTTTTGCCTGTTTTATTGCTGCTGATGAAAAGGAGTAGAGCCATTGTCTGAAAGCAAAGCCAAAACGTTTTACGATGCCTGAAGATCCAACAAACGGGTCAAAAGTGTTTTTGCTGTAAAGCCTGGAGTCTTCAGACTAGTAAATTATTGTACACAGTCTCCATTTTTGCTAAATTTATTATTTTAGAGAAATCACATCTGTTCAAAATGCAATTATTGGCACATCTGGTGCAAATGCCTCAAACTAAACAGCCTCTATGGAGACCCAAAGATGCCAAAAAGCAACAACTGTCAATGTTTTCTTTACCTCCTCCTGCTTTTCAGATACATTTGGAAACTCGTCCTGCTTCGTTTATCACAGCTCCACTCGTTTTAAACTTTTCCAATCTAACGGCAGATAAAATACACAAAATAAAACTACTACAACCAGAATGTAGAATTAATACTTAATAAAATCACCGAACAGCAATCCACAGTCTTTGTTTAAAGAGTTTTAAGAAGAGTTTTAAATTGGCTCATGGGGATAAAATCTTAAGCGTCTTTGCAAGTGAGGAGAAAAGGCTTTTCCTGACTGCTTGTGCGTTGGTTGCAGAGATGGAGTCGGTGAAGATGGCGCGGTTGGTGTTTAACAGACTGTTTGAGATTTGCTGCCTGTGGCAGAAGGAGCTGCCGTTCCGCCGCCGCCCGCAGCCATACTACGAAACGTCCATCCATGCCATCAAGAACATGAGGCGCAAGATGGAGGATAAGCACGTCATCATCCCCGACTTTAACACACTCTTCAACATTCAGGTAAAATTTATTTATGCAATTTATTAATCATTTTCAGAGGATATTTATTTATCAGATGTTATAAGTTGCTAAAAAGTTGCATGTTAGTCTTGTCTGGATTCAGCTGTGCTGAGATATTTGCACTAAAACTAGAGAAACATAGTTGGTAAAACATAAATAATAAAAACGGCAAACTGATCAGAGCAAAAACAAAATGAAAACCAAAAAATTCTCTGAACAATTTTTTCCCCCAAATCTAACAGTTTACAGAAAGTAGCCAAGACATTTTTAATAAACGATAAATAATCATTCCTGCAGGCAGGTTGATCCATCTTGATTTTCCTGCCAACAGATTTGTTTGTTTTTCACTTGGATTTTAAAAAGAAAATGAAAAAACTGATCTTGGTTTTTTTTCATCACACCTGAGCTCTACATTTTGATTTTCTTTTAATCACTGTCTTTTTATTGAGTTCTTTCCTTTAATGCATAAAGTTTGTGAATACAAAAATGTGTTTATCCAACACAGATACAAAATAATATACAGAAAATGAATCCCTACAAAGAAAATGAAACCCTAACCCAGGCCACTACCCAGTAGATCCTACGTTCCTGTCCCTGACAGAAGTGGGACATATTTTAATAAAGTGAATTAACTTAATTAATCTGGAGCCT